AAAAAAAAAAGAAAAAAGAAAAAAAAAAGAGAGCATACCCTATTGACAACAGTGCCACTCATGCTAGTAACTAGGTACGATACTACCCCCATTCCCGAACCGAATCATCTGCCTAGCCACCGCCTGATCCGTCTTGAGCACGCCGGCCACATTAACCTCGAGCAAAGCATTGCTATCCTTAGTGGAGTATTCCAGAGCGGACGTCTCCTGCTGGATAGCAGCTGCGGCGACTAGGCCATCTATACGACCCTCGCGAGTGGCAATATCCTCGATAACGGTATTGAGCAGGACTGTGTCACGCACGTCGACGCAGCGGTATGCACCTCGGTGCGCCATGTCTTGGCGTACTGCTGGATTTCTGTGAACTCCGGTGTCTTTTGTAGTGAGTTATTGTCCTTATTTTAGGACATTGTAGATTGTAGATTGTAGCACAATGGTGACACGTACCGGCTCTTGCAGATGGTCTAGAGCGTATACTTGGCACCCGATTCTAATAGAGCCTCTGATAGAATCAGGCCGAGACCGCGACCGGCTAGGATTATTTTGTCCGTTAGGCTGAAGTCGGATATGAGGGCGGTCTGGTCCAGGGAGGGTTGGGATGGGACTGGGGTGGTGGGGAGCTCGGCTTCGGTTGACATTTGATGTTGATATAGGGGTGATTGTAAGATGCCTGTTTGGATAATAAGGAAAGTACATAGAAGAAGCTATGATGAAGTCCTATGGACCTCGATCACGGAACCAGTGGGCAGACATGTCCTTTATAGGTTCCTAGATTCATGATGGCCCTGGGCACTGAGGTCGCGTGAACAGCAGAAATTGAAGGGACACAAGATTGTGTTCTTTATTTTTCCCGCCTTTTGGCATTTTGGCTTAGGGATATGGCTATTAGAGGTACCGATAGGAACGAAGGTGCTAGCTCCTTGTTAGTAGAACTCCTATTGTAAAATAATCTAGTTTCTAGAATCCAGCTTTATTAGATATTATTTAGTACATAGATAGTAGTTTAAACTACTCCGGGCTAGAGGTTCTATAGTAAGTTCGAGTCTTTACAAAGCGCTCTTACTCTAGCGATAATCACCCCTTCTCCAGGGTTGTGACCCCTCTTTAGTCACGACCTTCCTATCCCCAAACAAATCGCCCCACGAGAAACACCTAACGCGTCTGAAAACATGGAGCCCCAGATGGGTTACGACGTCGTCGCATGGGAACGATCCGACGATGTCTCCGACAATTGGTCGCTTCAGTCTCTTGATATCGACGTCAAGAGACTGATTGTGAAATTTATCCTGAAGCATGATTCCGGGGACGATCCCGAGTTTACGATTCTTCGAAAAGGGTCTTTCAATATCACATTACAAATGAATTACACATACAGCGCGACCAATATCTGTTTTCCACAGCCTAGCGCCATTCTTTTCCCGAGGAAAGACTTAAGAACGAAGTCGCCGTGATGAGAAGCCTGAATACTAGTCTGAAGGTATCAAGGACTAGGCCGAGCATTCGATCGCCGCCTAAAGACGTTCCTTACGGCAATAAGGAATTGTGAAGATATAGAGGCTTAGCACAGCTAGCGCCGGCTCTCGGATCAGATGTAACAGAGCTGGGAAAGCGGAGACTTCTGGGTGGTGTATGCGATTTTGCACAGCTTTACGTTTGACGCGATCTACTGGCAGAAAATCGACCAGCGCTTCTTTGGGCTCACGCAGACCGACGATCCCAGCGACGCATGGAAAGAGCGGCCGAACCTGCTGGATGAAAACCAAAAGGGTGAGATGGAAGACAGGGTCTTGGCGTGGGACCCGGATGAGTATACTGGAGCATTTCGCCAGGGGTTGATGAGAAGGAGAGAAGAAAAAGCAAATGCGGCCAAGGAATCCCACCAGGAACCGGTTGCAGGGCCTCATGAATAATAAGCTCACAGGAGTGAATTAATTGTACGGTGTACGGTTGGCGGTTCTGCAACCCTTAACCGCCACGACACGTTGGTCAACCACCTTCCCTTGAGACTGTCAGTTTTCTCGCGGTTCCTGTGGTAGGCAGCTTGAGAACAGATAACAGCCCAAGATATAAGCAACAGGAAGATGAGCCTCCACAAAAGCCCATGCTTTCCTTTCTCCGCATCCAGCTCGTATGATGTTGAAAATTGTATACGACGCGGGGAGATTTAGGCTATCCGTATATATATTGTACATGATATTGAGATTCTGCGAATAGATCAAGAGCCAGCTTGGAGGTCCTTGCACCTTTTTTACTAACGGGGTAAAGGGAGGGTTTGTTGTGCCTGGTCTATAATCGATAATCGATCTGGGCCCTTGCCTTTGGTTGTTAGGGCTCAATGGAGAGTCAATTGCGAATACGAGTAGCCATTTGAATGAACAGAACTTATATTCAAGGTTCACAAGTTTTGTGAAATGCACGCAAGAAAAAGAAATGCCCTCTATTCCTTTACAAATCGTGAAATCGTACCTAGGTAGATAATGGTAGATAAAATATGAATAAATGTCCAAAAATGGGAGCACTATAGCACAGGGGTGGATATTGAGACAAAACCCCACAGATATGATGAGAATGATAGAAAGGAAAATGAATCCGAAGAGATATGGCCAGAATGGAGGAAAATCGATCAGTTCGAGATTGCGTGGGGTTCGCGATCTTCGGTCGCGGGGCCAACCGAACCCTTCTCGCGCCAGTTAACACCCTGCGACTTGAGCTGCTTACGGGCCTTGCGACCACGACAGCATGCGGCGCAGCAAGAGCCGATCTGAATGATAAAGGGGATCAAACTGAACGCCGAAGCGATCCACATAAAGACCAGCATCTGGGTGCCGACGTGCGCCTTAATGTTGATCCTCGGGTCGGCGTTTGAGAAGACGTTGGCGAAGATCACGAACATGACTGTCGCGACGGCCGACCCGACGATCGTGACCAGCGTGGTGATAAAGGTCAGGATCAACATGGGGAGGGCGCGTAGCCAGACGAATGTCCGTCGGCGGTGGGGTGGATTGCCCGCGGGCGGGTGGCCGTCGTTGTAGCCTGCTGCCCAGGCTTTGATGCTCCGTGGGTGTCGTGAGGACACGGCGAACGGGGCGACGAAGATCATGACGAAATTCAGGACTGCTGCAGTGAGGAGGAGTCCGAACATCCAGTGGGAGGCGGTACGGGCTAGTTTCAATGGGCTTTCAATGTCGGCTGGGAGAGCGACTGCGGGGGGCTGTTAGTCTACATTCCAGGGGAGTCCTTGCGGGGATATTTCTATAACTTACCCGTAGCACCGGCCAGCAGCTCGTTCAAGATGATCTCAACCGGGTTGAAGGCATAGAGAGTCTCCGGCTTGGAGCAGTGGGTGATTCCCTGTCCATTATATCCTTCACAGAAGTTCCATAGGCCAACCTGGTAGAAGTCATGTAGACCGATTGATTGGGCGATAGAGTTGATAAGGACGGCATTGGGAATGGAGACGGGGATAATATTGGCAAGATCGAGGTAGAGGAAGTAGGTACTGCGTAGGACTGGTCTATTAGAGGTGTTGCCAATGACTACCAGCACCAAAAAGATCCAAGCGATCAAATACAACAGCGACCGTAGTATGCGATGCCAGTGGACGGTGGACTTTCGCTGGCGGTCGACTGGCGTCGTGGACTTGAAAAAGGGGAGCTTTCTCTTGCCATTGTCCGTCCCATGCATGATAGAGATATGAAGGAAAAAGGAGAGGAAGTCCAAAGAGATTCGCAAGTCCCCCGAGAGGAAAAGAAAGAGAAATTTAGGGTTTTCCGAGATGACGTTAGAATATCTCCCTTGAGGCAAAACAAGAGATTGTTTTAGCTCTGGAGTGGATATTCACTGGGTCTATTGGGTCGATGGGGGTCTATTTTGGCTTCAAATACGAATTCAAATTGAAATTCCATCAGATCGTCGTGTTTTAAGATCGTCAGTGGCTGAACACTAGTGTTGGCCCCTGACTAATGACGATCATTTAGGCATCTATAGAGAAAGACATGGAGAACGTGTTGAAATGCAAGAAAATAGAAATATCACGGCCGATGGACTAGGTGGATTAGGTAGAATAGTTAATATAACTCTAATAATAGGTCTATTATTATAGCGCTGCCTATGCCATGAGACTATAAGCCCAACTCAATATGCAACAGGCAACAATCGGCATAAGAGCCAAGAGGCTGGAGATCACTGCCACTTCGCCTAATATGATATAAAAAATATAAAAAATATCATTGGCCCGTCACTTTTCTTTATTGGTTGATCAACGATGATCAACGTCATTTGTTAACTAGTTAAAAACTCCCTGCGATTAGGTAAGTTGAAGTATTTCCCCGAAGGTCATCTTCTCCTCCTATCTTGGGCACAACATACAACATAGTATCCCCCCATATCACACAGTATGAGGTGGCCTACAATTGCTCTCGGCTTCCTCGCCGTTGCTGTGGCCCAGGACTCGTCTACCGAATCCTCCGAATCTGGGACGGCCACCCCCGATGGAGCCACGGTTGTGTCCGTCACAACTCCCGTGGCCATTCCTTCGGGTTCCTACCAAGATTTCAGTACGACAATCACACTGAGTGATGGCGATGAGTCGGTCATTGCATCGACCACCCACTACAATGCCACAATGACTGCCTCCAACCAGACGGCAGTCACCACAACTTCCGACTCCTTGACTTTGCTGGTGGGCGGTGGAGGCGGAGGGACGACGGTGATCGGGAACAATACCATGAACGCGACTGCGACTACGACTGGTACAGCTACGAATACACCTGTCGTCAACACCCGGCCTTGCAACAACTACCCCGAGTTCTGTCTTAGGAAGTACTCCAACATTACCATGGTCGCAGCGCACAACAGCCCGTTCGTGCGCAAGAACAGCTTCGCCGCCAACCAGGCGCTGGATGTGACAACACAATTGAATGACGGAATTCGCACACGTAAGTGGAGCAAAAGCGCATTGCCATTTTAGAAATAAGCCCTTGTTAAACCGTGAATTAGTGCAATTCCAAACTCACTATGAGAATGGCACTATGTACCTGTGCCACACGACCTGCCAATTGCTCGATGCCGGCACCCTCGAATCATACCTGATCGACGTCAACAAGTGGATGCGGAAGAACCCGTACGACGTGGTGACCTTCATTATCGGCAACTTCGACTATGTCTCGCCCGAGAACTTCACCATCCCCATCTACAACTCCGGCCTGAAGGACCTAATCTACACCCCCAGCAAGGTCCCAATGGCCCTGAACGACTGGCCCACGCTCTCAGAGATGATCCTTAAGCAGAAGCGCGCAGTCTTCTTCATGGACTACCAAGCCAACCAGACTGCGTACCCATGGCTGATGGATCAATTCTCGCAGGTGTGGGAGACCCCCTTCTCGCCCACCGACCCTGCCTTCCCCTGCACCCAGCAACGCCCACCCGGCCTGTCCGAGGCAGATGCCAAGAACCGCATGTACATGGCCAACCACAATCTGAACCTGCAGTTGAACCTCGGGTCTCTGAGCATGTTGATTCCCAATACTGCTCAGCTTGAGGAGACCAATGCCGTGAACGGCAGCGGCAGTCTGGGTGAAATGGCTGAGAAATGTAACAGTAAGTTGAGATCGTATTTGATCTTTGATTGTGCATTGCTAACTCTGAACAGCAACCTGGGGCCGTCCCCCTAACTTCCTTTTGGTGGATTACTATAACTACGGCGATTTCAACGGCTCGGTCTTTGAGGTCGCTGCCCAGATGAACAATGTCACTTACGACCGTAAATGCTGTGGGAAGACGTCTGGTGCCCTGCGCGAGGTTTCTGTCGCCGGCATGTCGACTGTGCTTCTGGTGGCAGTGGGAGTGCAGATGGTGATGTCTGCGTTCTGATTTCCACGATATCTATGACTGTATTTTGGATGCATGACCAGATCGGTCGTCGGCGCTAGGTTTCTTTTTTTCTTTCTGGCCATACATATTACATTGTACTGGATATGATTTTGATATAGTACTTATATGTACGATGTTGTAGTTATTTGATCTATGCACAGATGTACGCGTTCGCTAGCACTCGACCAAATGAAAATAAAATATTTCTAAGGCAAGAACACATCGTCTTCTCTCCCAACAAACAAAACCAACATTCAATAATAGCATCCATCACAACCTACACAGCTCCCCGACATCACATGACCACTCCCCACCGCACCGCAAACCAACTTGGAACTCCACCATCAGCCCTCACACCTAAAACCAACCAACTCACCCCCTCAAACCAAAAGCTCGCGCAGCAAAACCGCTAATATGGTCGACATTGTCCCCCTAAGCAGCTACCCCTCCTACATCGACCTCCTCCCATCAATTCAAACCTGCAACATAACAAACCTACCAGAGAACTACTTCCTAAAATACTACCTGTACCACGCCCTCACCTGGCCGCAGCTAAGCTTCGTCGCGGTCGTGCGCCCGCGCGGGGGATACAAGTCCAGCTCGACAGCTGGTATCGCCGGCAATGTCTCGGGCGAGTATCCCAAGGTTGTTGGATACGTTCTTGCGAAGATGGAGGAGGAGCCCACGGACGGCATGCAGCACGGTCATATTACCAGTCTGAGTGTTATGCGGACGCATCGGAGGTTGGGGATTGCCGAGAGGTTGATGCGGATGAGTCGTGAGTTGGCACCATCTCTTAATTCTACAATTTTGCATTTTGGATTCTGCGTTTGCAATTGCATTCGCGTTTAATCATCTGCAAAAGCTGGATATTCGCGTATTTACAGTTCCGGACTAATCTATATTCTTGCAGAACGTGCAATGGCCGAGTCTCACCGCGCGCATTTCGTCTCCCTGCACGTGCGCATGTCGAACGTTGCTGCGCTGCGATTGTACCGTGATACGCTTGGCTTTGAGGTCGAGAAGGTTGAGGCTGGGTACTATGCCGACGGCGAGGATGCGTATGCTATGCGCTTGAATCTTCAGAACATGTGGCTTGATTGGAAAGCTATTGAGAAGCGGGATGCGGAGAATAATAAGGAGAAGAATGGGGAGGAGGGGAATGAGGATGAGGGGGAGGAGGTTGGGGATCTTGGGAAGAAGGATGCGGAAAAGATGATTCGGGTTAAGGTGGGGAGGGGACTTGGGGTTGGTGATTTGGTTGAGAAGAATGAGTCGAAGGCTTGAAGACATGGATGTGAATATAGATGCAAATGGTAATGAGTGCTCTTTGTATGTATGGAGATATTTCTGAAAGTTTCATTTCAGTGTATTTGGAATGTTGTGTAGATAAGATGCGAATTGTAAAGATTCCGCGAAAGTACTATGTATCAATTGAATCATAACTTCGTCGACTTGGATGTGGTCAAGATTTGAACTATACATTGAGGAGAAGCAAAATCACTTTTGCCGTCCTCCCAAGGATATATCGAACTCCAGGCTGAAAACAAAGTAAAGAAAAGGAAAGATCAACAATATCCAGCTTGTCCAGGTCATTTACTTCCCGCATCATCCTCCTTCGACTGTTGCTTTTTCGCCTTGCGCGGCAACAGAAGATCCTTTAACCGACTGGACGTGTCAGCCGGTTTCCCTTTCTTCCCAGAGGCGGCAGAATCCCCAGTAGGTGGCAAGTCCTGCGTACTTGGCCGTGAGAGAGCAGGGGAGGGAGGACTGGAAGCAAATCCAAAGCCAACATTCGAGCTATTCGGCGTAGAAACCGGACTAGGCTGCGTTTGTGTGCTGGCAGGACGTGGAGGCATAGGTGGGTTAGATTGCCGAGAATCCTTCAGCCGCAACGTCCCAAGCTGCTGATCTAGCGGCTGGTCATGCATATGTTTCGCCTTGTCGCCGTCATTAGCGCGAGCTTGCCGGACTTGGCGGCGTCGAGTGCGTCGGCGTTCGCGCTGCTCATCTCGCGCTCGGCGCAGCGTGTCACGGAACGCTTTCTTGGTGGCGCGCATTTCTTCTTTCATGGCGCGTCTATCGACGGAGTTGCGTTGCTGCTGCTCGGGTGAGTCCCAGCGGCCCCAATCCGTGTCATCGGATTGTTGGTTATTTTGTTGGCTTTGGTTGAAACCGGCTCGCCAGTTGTTCTTACCAGAGAACTTGGCTTCTCGACGGGACTCTTGCAGGACTGAGAGTTGCCGGCGGAGATCAACGGCGGCCTCGTACAATACTCGATCATGACGATCGTCTAGAAGTTCCAACTGAGTGCGCACTGTGGCAAGGTCCGAAACGCTCAGGTCTGATGTTGTCGAGATGGAGTCAATTGAACTGAAGGAGGACTCGGATGAGACAGAGCTCACTGATACTCGTCTGGTGCGTTCGGTCGCGGGAGGCTCTATCAGAAGCTGTTCTGTTGAGGGCTTAGGTTTGTTGCTATCGATCTGGTCGATTGTCTCAGGCCGACTCGTCGGGTTAGGGCTTGTAGGGCTGGGGCTTTGAATGGGTGTCATTGGGACGTTGGCTATGGGACGAGGCGAGTTATCCCAGGCCGGCCGCGTGTAGTAGCCACCACCGTACTGAGGTCCAGTCATTGGTGCTTTTCGACTATGGAGCCTTGCTTGTTCTTCAATCCAGCGGCCATGCGCAAGAGCCTGCTCCTCAACTTGCCGTCCATAGTGCTGTGCCTGTGCACTGATGTGGTCTCCATATTGTAGTGCCTGTTCGCTGAACCGCTCTCCATACTTCTGCGCTTGTGATGCGATCTGTGAAATCCACCCACGGGTCCCACCCTTGGTGCCATTATTCGGATACTGGAGTTGCTGCTGCGGGTAGTTCCAATTGTTCCATTGCCATGCGCCTTGTGGTGGATGGGGGTAATATTGAGGCGGTTGGTTAGGGGATATAGGGGGAGGGTATGGAGGAACACCATATACTCCATATGGAGATAGGGGTACATGTACTTGGGGGTGGGGGAACCCGTGAGGAGGCATGGACCAAGCGGTCGGCGAAGGAACGTGCTGCCCAGGCACAGGCGACGGAGCATTTGAACTTCGAACAGGCTGTCCTTCTACTGAGCCTGTTGCCGCTGGATAGCATCGGGGACATAAAGCGGACGACGGCGCAGAATCAGGTTCGCCCACATAGACAAAGACAACATGAGTAGCGCGAAGGCCGAAAAAGCATTCGTTCCATTCGGCGACAACGGCAGCGATTCGAGCCTTCCGTTGCTCATCTGTCTCCTGTGGGCGATCCTTGCGGTCTCGTCTAATTTCCGCTCGTAATTGGCGAGGGAGATGCTGAGAAGACGCAGCGAGCCCCAATTGCGGCGGAAACAGGTACTTCAAGAAGGTATCCCAGTCCTGCTGGGTAATCTCATTTAACCGCGAGGCCCAGCACCGTGGCCGTCTTGGGAAATCCTTTGCTTGGCTCCGGGGGTAAATGGTCATATGATGTGGTAGAAGAAGATCCCGGCTCTCGTCTAGGACCAAGGGAAGTCGTTCCTCAAAGTACGCAGCGGCGGATCTGAAATGCGTCGGCACGACCGTTGGCTGTGTTGGGACACGAGAACTACTTGCATCCTGCGTCGGGGAGACACTCACGCCGGGAGCAATTGCAGACTGAGAAGAGCTGTTGTTCCGGCTGTTCGCTGGTGCGAGTAATGGGTCGACGGCCGAGTACGGGGGTGGTGGAGTCTCCTCTTGGTCCATGTTGAGAAGGCGGTTACGGTCGGCCAGGGAAGAGCAAAGGGCGGCAAGAATTTAGTGGCCTAGGAAGCGTTACAGATCTTCTGTCAGACCTGAATCCCCATGCTGTGATAAGATAAGACGACCTAAGGGTTGATGGAAGGCAGCAGGATTACTGTAAATGGGGCCATGTCAGCGTACAATATTTGGCGCATCATTTTTGAGAGACGTTATATCCTACCTGAAGATCGGACGAGTGACTCGCAATGACAAAAGGTATACTGAGCCCTGATGGAGGAGGCAGACGAGGAAGAAGGTGGATCTCGGGAGGAGTGAAGAAAGCGACATTGGGATATTGGCGGAGACGATAAGATAAGCCCTATCGATTGCCCAGGTGCCAAGACAGGTTACAGGTGAGCCCACCGGTGAGTCAGCAGGTCACGGGACGCTTGAAGACAACGGCAGTGCGCGGCCACCAGTGCGCCGTATCGTATTTTGCCAGCAGAATATTTCATAAGATTACTATATGTGGATTTCATTGACTATAGAAATTGATAGAAATTAATAGTGTAGAAAATGACACTATAGAAGTCGATATGTATTATAGGAATTACATATGTAATTACTAAAATTTGTGCGAAGGAGGTAATAGTAAATCAGCGGTGTGAAGGCGGTCAAAATTTAATATGGAAAAATACGATATGGCGCACTGGCGGCTATGCACTGCCGTACCCCAGGTGCCAAGACCTTCAGGCGCAAACCTCCAATGTTGGAATAAACATGTTGGCAAGATCGAACAGACTAATGTGAGAGGATTGAATTCCGAGAGTGACCTATTAGTGGCTATCGACATAGCCATTTTCACATCGACAGACTATGGTGTCAGCGGTGCTCTGAAGTTATATGCGTTGTTTGAGGCTGAGGAACTAGATACCTGACGACGATTTTTGATGCTCTTCGGATATAAATGGCCTGCTGCTTGATTTTGAAAATACAACTCTCGAGCCCTGTTTCGTCCCACCTCGATGGCTTCAGACTATATTGGATGGCAGACATTTGCGGTTCATGGATTGGCGCTTTTATTTCGGTCAAGGTGCGCACACTGCTAGTGTCGGTAGATTTATTCTTAGATTAAGTATACGTAGTGCCTTTGGTTGTATGCGGGTAGGCTATGTCTCACGTGTAGTTGCTTGTAAGTGAGGCTATATCGTGATGCCATGTCCGCCCGCTTGAACCCTTCATCGACTTTCATCCTTTAATCTCTTCTCCTCTCTTCCGCGCACCTCGATTCCTTTTTACCAAGCTACTGTCAAATGTGGCTAGCTGTTAGCAAGTTGAAAGATTTTGATTAGTCCGCAGGGCTTCTCAGCTGTCTCAATTGTGGTACGAAATCTGTTATCCTCTGATTTTCGGATGTTGACTGAAAGACGACAAGAGGCGTCCGCACCACAGATACACGCCCCCGTGGCGTAGCCAGATATTTTATTCGACTTATCGACACAGTAAGCCATTTAATCTCCACTGTGAGAGCTTTGAAAAATTATGAACTAATGTGGTGGGTGTTCGTATAGTTCCGGACGGAGTATCCTCTCACTTTACAACGACGGGCACCCGGTTGACAGAGGTCTCTACTACAACACGCCAAAATGTCTGCAGAGCACACTCGCGATTGGTCGACCCTACTACCAGCTGAGAAACCGACCGGACCAATTGACCAGGCATTTGAGCTACCAGAAATCGAATGCTTTACCCTGTACCAGTTTCCTTGTGTTCTAAAGCATCCTTCGGACTATGCCATGTGGCGCAATGAGATCTTTCAAATCCTCAAAATTCACAGACTCCACCGGCTCATCGACTCTGGCATTCCCCGCCCTTACAAGGACTCGCCCAATGCTAGGAGATGGCAACAGATGTCGATCGAGGTCCGCAACTGGATAGCGTGGAACATGAATCCAATCCTTGTGCGCATGATTGTGAAAGGCCAGCCTCGAGCTCAACTGGCAGACGAGTTTATGATGGGGGCTGAGACGATTCTTCGGGGGTCTACCTGTAGTCCTGCACAGGACTACGAGGATGTCTCCGACGGTCTGTTCAATCTCATTGGGTGCCAGCGTCGTGGTTTTTCTAGCGCCCGGTGGTTTGTTCACCGTCTCATGGAGTACTACACTCACACCTTGAATATGAAAATGGGAATTCCGCCATTTATCCCGCTGCTGATTCTGTTGGCAGAAATTGAGGGTGATGTCGGAACAGAATTTGTCAACTTGAGATATGAGCGGTTGGAGAATATGCACAACCTCGCCCAGGATGTTACAAAGGCGTACTTTGAAAACGTTTACTTCGATGTGTTGGAGTACCTTGATTCGATGGGTCAGGCACCTAGCGATGTGTTGCATCCATTGACCGAATGACGGTGTTTGATGAACGATGGAAGTCAGAGAGTGCAACAAGAGCATGGGAAAGACATGGCTAGCCTTTGTCGTGGGGTAACCAATGGCCCTAGAAAGGGTACTCCATTCCGCACTGAAAATGGTATGAAATGTGTACGAAGACGTTGAGAAGGGAACAATGAACATGATGTGGAGGATGTTTTCCAAAGGTTGTTTCGAACAGGGGACTGGCACGAGAGGACAAACTGTGTAGTCGAGGCATGCCATCAATTACTTGTAGTTTTCATGCATGGAATCTCTCCTGAAATTTGATAATCACAACCCACTTCCAAGGCTGAAACGAATGAATTATGCGCATTAAAATAAACATAAGGTTCCATGCCATATGGACGTGGCCCCACACTGAAACCACGGCACCACTAAGCAATGATTCAGCGCCTGACGGTTGGCTGGCTTGAGGGTCAGCGATTGGCTGACGGTCAGATATAGCGGAGCACTGAATCATCGCTCGGCCATCACGTTGTCCATGTACGGTCCGAAATTAATCACTTCGTCGGCTTGCCCGAATTTTGTCGATTTATGAACCGCTTTTATAAGCACAATCGCATTTACGGCTCAATATAGGCCAATAGTAACGCTACTTTTGGTGGATATATTGTACATCGGATAACTTCCGGGAATTATACAAGACCCCTCAGATATCGCCTTGTTGACCATATCCCGATCTATTGTGTTCCCTAAGATTTTTACATTTATATCTGGTCGATTTTTCCCTTTTTACCTTCGTTTAAGACTACTCAACTTTGTTTCTCCTTGGCACGCCCATCTATTCCATTTCCCTCTATACTACTTCCATACATCAAGGACGTCCATTCCTTCTATATTTCCACAAACACTTGTCACCCACCATGGATGCTCTCCAGAAAGAGTCCAGTTCAAACCACGCAACACTCAACGAAGGGGACAGCGTCAGAAATCTAACCCCAGACCTCGAAAAACAGTCAACGAAGCAAGGCACCGAGGCATCAGCACCAACCAAAGAACTATTCCCGGAAACAGACCTCAGCCGCGGATTAGTAGGTTGGGATGGACAAGATGACCCTAATAATCCCCAGAACTTCCCAGCCAAGAAAAAATGGTCCTTGCTCGCCCTGATCAGTGTCATGACTCTGATCTCCCCGCTTGCCTCGAGCATGTTCGCACCCGCCATTTCATACGTGGCAATGGAGTTCGGAGTAATGGATCAGACAATCCTGTCTTTCAGTGTCAGCATCTATATCCTCGGATACGCAGTGAGCTCACCCCACCCACATCATCTATGTAATCCAACCCATCTAATATCACGGATTTAGTTCGGCCCCCTTCTACTTGCTCCTCTGAGCGAAGTCTACGGCCGCCGAGTCGTCCTCAGCGGTGCAAACTGGTTCTTTGTAGTCTGGCAAATTGGCTGCGCACTCGCAAACAACATCGAGACCCTCATCATCTGCCGCCTCTTTGCCGGAATCGGCGGTTCGGGATGTCTAACACTCGGCGCGGGTGTGATCGCAGACATGTTCCCGCGGGAGCAGCGCGGCATGGCAACCTCCGTATGGGCTATGGGACCGCTGGTTGGACCTGTTGTTGGGCCTATTGCGGGTGGATTCCTCGGGCAGGAAGCCGGCTGGCGCTGGGTGTTTTGGCTACTGCTTATTGTGGGTGGTGTGGTGTCGTTCGGGGTCGAGGTTCTGAATAAAGAGACATACGCGGGTGTTCTCATTCGGTGGAAGACCGAGAAACTCGCGAAAGAGACGGGGAGAACGGATTTGCGGAGTGCTTATGACACAGATAAGGAATCTGTCGGTTTGACACAGACCCTGGTGCAGAGTTTCAAGAGGCCGGTTTTGTTGCTCGTCAAGTCGCCGATTGTATTCCTCCTGTGTGTTTATATGGTGAGTCTAAGTTCGGCTGCGATAGACGAAAGGTCAATTGTAAGATGCGGTCTGCTAACGTTATCTCTAGTCTTTCATCTACGGCCTGCTTTACCTCTTCTTCACCACCATCCCCAGCGTCTTCACTCAGAAATACGGCTTCTCCGTTGGCCTATCAGGACTTGCATATCTCGGTATTGGCTTCGGTTTCTTTGGTGGTCTCGCATTGATCGCCTTCACGAACGACCGGTTGGTCATGGCAGCTACAGCAAAGAACGGCGGCAAGTTCGAACCAGAGATGCGCCTCCCAACGATGATCATCTACGCCTGCATCCTTCCAATCAGCTTCTTCTGGTATGGCTGGTCAGTCGATAAGCACGTGTTTTGGATCGTGCCTATCATTGGCACGTTCCCCTTCGGTGTTGGGATGACGGGCGTGTATATGCCCATCCAGACATATATCATCGATTGCTATCCCAAATATGCAGCGTCCGCCAATGCGACTTTGACAGCGACTCGTTCCCTGATTGGGGCTCTGCTTCCGCTTGCTGGGCCGAAGATGTTCGATACTCTGGGTCTCGGATGGGGCAACTCGTTGCTTGGATTCCTGGCTTTGGCATTCATCCCGATTCCTATTGTCTTCATCAAGTACGGCAAGGTGATTCGAGAGAAGTGGCCTGTGGATCTCGATGGCAAAGAGGCTTGAACTGCTACTATCTCGAAGAGCATCCTACACGCTCCACATCGACCTTCTCTGTCTACGTGATCGGGGATGATGTTTAACGACTCACATATAGAACTCGCATATACACAATTAATATAATAGAACTTAATAGAAAATGAATTTCTGCACATGAAGGTCGTCATCCGTCATAAAAGCTCAATCACAATTTGATTGATATCCATCCCCTCCACAAGATCAGGATACCGTCTAATAAACTCCGGCGTAAGCCCCCACCCACTTTCACTCATGAACATCTCATAGAACGCCTTTTTGATACACAACTCGTTCCGTTCATTCCGTTCAAGAATCGTCTCATTCCAAGGCCATCGAATCCTAACACAACAAGCCATGAACCCAAACAGATCATCCCGGTCCTTGCTATACAGATGCCACCGCCGAATTAGATTCATCCGCAACCTTGGCCACGGCAAGAAATCTAACACGAGCGGATGCGGAACTGTCATCTGGCCCTGCACAGGCCTGAGGAACGCAGGGAGTCGACCATAAGTCTCCGGGCTGGGCGCGATGATCCATCTCGAGAAGTGGTAAGTCAGCCAGCCAGTACCTAGTCGCTCCGGTTCACGGACTGGGCGGCGTTGCAGGGCAGTGTGGATCATGTCCGCTAGCGGGTTTGTTTTTGTGCCATAGATGAAGTCAAGAGGGGAACTGGGGATGTCTGGACATGGGATTATCAGTTCTGGGTAGACGAGCCACGGACAGGAGATCGTAGTGCGTGTGCTGAAGTCATCAGTGTGTGGCGGGATTTGGTTCCACGGAGGCGTGGCTTCGGCAGAAAGAGGTTCTAGAGAGGGGGATTGAATTTGCGGTGGTGTTGATGCAGCGGATATGGACACGTTGAGAAGGCTGCTTATCCCGTGTTGGGGTATTGGTTCGTTGAAGTTCGTTTGGAGGGAGAATTGGGCTTCTCGGTCGCTCGTCTCCTTATACATAGATGACAAGTGATGGCTGGAGTCATCTGTGGCGGCCGGTTCAGCCAGTTCTGTCTCCCAGGAGTTGACGAGCGATTTCAAGCTCTTTTGGCGCGTGAGAAGAGCTTCATTTTGTTTGCGGAGCCCTCGGATTACTTGGAGAAGGCATTGCACGCCTTGGTCGCTGTGATGCTGCTGACAGTGTGCTACCTGTTCTTCAAGCTGCGTTGTATGTCGCAGCTTCTTTTCACGGAGAGTCTGCTGTGAGCGGCGATCTCGAAGGCGCTTTTTCTCATTTGAAGACATCGGGTTTGGTGCTTTGCTGTCGTGGAAAGATGGGATCGGCAGATTTAAGCTGCCGCTGCATAATTCGGCATAAGTGGGTATGCATAATTCTTATGCAGATATCTACGGACCTTGGGATTCATGCCTCTACTATCCTTAGTAGCATTTCTACTCCGGTTTTATGTTGTAGAATTTCTACAGGAAAAAAAATTCTGAACACTATTCGAACTCATACATGTGTAGAATCCAAAACATGCTGACGATCCTAACACGTGTGCAAGAAATCAATCCCATATATATGTGATTACGCCCCAGGCTCGTCTGGTTGAAGTTGTCGGCGCCATTACAGAATAGATGTATATGCTTGAACAGGAAGCACTGTTTATAGCAATTAGAATTAATGCCATGAAGGCGAATGTAGATGCTTACTCCTTGCTACAGGTCTTCAACTCGATTACCTGAGTCGTGGTCGCTACACTACGCCTTAAAACACCTATATTCATTTGCGGATACAATATGAATACCTTACTGTAGCTGCATATCATTCAAGCTTGCTATTTGATCAAAGTGAAACACTACTTTCATATGCTCTCAGAGTACGTAGGGAAGGAAAGGGAAGGGAAATCAGCAGATATAAGAGGCTAAAAGAAAAGAATGAACAAACCCAGCCTCGAAAGTGCGAGATTCTCGACAGCGACTTGCGGTCCTTGGGGTTTGAACCCGTAGGTGGCCTAAGAGAGCAGTCTGGAGCGGACATGGCTCGTTAGCGATCTACCAACTAGACCACCTGGGTTTGCAATTACTACTACACTAACTTTGATACTTAACCAACGCCCTCGCTGTCCAAACACAACCCACCAGAAGCTACGCCCCTGCTCCTGGTCCTGTTGGACTCTATGTCAGACCTATAAACTGTACCTGACTTTGTGGATTATACGCAGCAAGTCAATATGAAGCGTGTATTCTGGCAGCCACTGGCCTACTCGCCAGCAAGCCTACTTACCTTCAATCTGGGAAGTAAAGCTCATAGCATTCTGCCAAGCCCGTTAGCCAAAATCCTAGTTCCAAGAGTGTACTCCACAGAGCAAATTCCCCCTTATTTATGCCAATTTGTGTCGCTCATTGAGCAAGTTGTTGACGTCTGATTTAAGGGAATCCATACTCATACAGGAGCTGAAGTTGAATCGTAATGAACTTGAACGAAAGTCTCGGTATCTCCAATTTAATCTCCAAGCTCTCTGCAAAATAACTGCTGAAACAAACCCCAGACTTCGCCGCTCTACCCGCACCGTCCCAAGCAGAGATCCTCGCACAGGAGGCGCAAGGCACTATCAAAATAGAGCGCGACATAAAGGATGCGTCAATATGCAACCAAACCTAGGATGTAGTAACGACAGCACTTACCCCCAAGATGCGCGCATCGAGACTCCTCGATCCAGCCTCTCCTCTGTCTTTTATTACTACTATACGACATGGGCGGATAGCGCGGTCATGATTCGCCAAGATCTAATTGGGCTCTCAGCTCGCTGGGATTGGATGGATCGTGTCCGTACTCGCCAACCGAAGAGGAACTGCGGAAGCATAAGCAGTATTTGGAAGAATTTGAGGCAAACAGAGACTCATGTTCTCACTGATGGCTAATATAGACACCAACCCGCATGGCTGGGTTCCGAATGAGGACTGGCACAGTGCGCTGGAGGCTAACCGGGTTGCCTATCATATGTGAATTGAAACGACCAGGGAGTAGGAAGGTGAGGGGGAATAATGGCGGACAAAGCAGATATATTATGGCCTTTTGATGCCCGATGAGCAGGAGGAATGGGAGTTGAATAGCTCTTTGGTGCGGATTTTATGGAGGTTAAGATAAGTACCCAGTACTTATGAACAGGCCTCAGAGTGGCAAGATTTACATATGTAACATAGGGACGAAAGAAAGTGGAGTGTACGAGGGAAGCAAGAAATTGTACGGATTCACTCTTCTTGGGTCTACATTGCCAGTCCCATTTCTTTTCATCAGCATGCGTATACTACCTACATTTGTAGCGTGTTGCCGCACATCTTCTAGCCATTTCCCCATGAATAGGAAGATGCGAGTGTGTAAATCGAATTTGGAAGTTCATTTATTAAATCAATACCTAGAATAGCAGATACAAATCCTCGTAGGAGAAAGAGACTCAATCAATAATTAGGTCAAGCAACATTGGCTCTCCGGTATTGCGGACATGGAGGGAACACCCAGACACAAGGCTGTAGGATTGGTCCTTGCCAACCCCAGTGTTATTGGACTCCTTCAAGAGGTGCGATCAGACGTTCAGCATCCGGCATTGGCTCGGGGGAATGCAGCTCACTCGGTGTTCGCGCCACTGGTCACGTTGGCAGTCCTATGAAGAATGAATATCCATGAGCACAACCCGGAAAGCTAGCTTGTACTCTGCTTACCTTGCTGCAGTACGTTGCGACTTTGCACTTCTTGCATTGCAGAGGCTTGTGACCGATATCTTCCTCGATCTTTCCACACTTGAAGCAGCTATCACGGTCGTCAGCGGAAAGTGTGTGGATCCGTTAGTCTTGTAGGGTTGAACTCACCTAGGTTCCTGGAAGCTACGTGCAACACCGGGCTGGCAGTGATCCAAGGCAGCCAGGAACTGGGCTTTTCCTGGAGTCCTGAAACCATGGTCCCCTAAGGTCATCTGGCGGGAGGTGCAGTTGATTTGGGGCGCTAGATCACGCAGATGCTTCAGGTCTGCTGCGTTGATACGAGCACCGGCGCGGATCATGAGAGCACCCAGAATGATAGTGCGATACTTGGAGTCTTGGAAGAGGTTATCCGTTTCCTTGGCGCGACTGGCAGCGAACAGCCGTTCTCCAAGGTTATCAGTGTCAAGCTTCTGGCGGACCCACGGGATGATTTCGTTGGCTAGCTTATCGGCGTACTCAGAGGTGCTGTAGAAGGCGGCAGCCTCGGGTGGTGCTAGCATGTCAGTTTGATGAACCATCGCACTCAAACTGTGCTCCCAGGAATCAGTGTCGACACCCAGGCTGTCGACCACGGTGCAAGCGACGTCGAGGTCCTGGTCGCCTTCAAACAGACCTAGGATAGACATTAGATAGAGTACAAGGGAGCAGCGACAGTGATACTCACGCCAACCCCATCGACCCATGGTGATGATCGTCTGAAATGTGTTAACTGTTGGGCTAAGCTTGAGACTGAGTGTCTTGAAGCCCGGGACCTGAAGCGCGACAGAAGAACGTCCGCGACAGTAGTCAGTATGGTACTTGGGATAATAAGAAAAAGGCTGAGATGAGTGTTTAGATGAAGAGGAAATTTAAAAAATAAATCCAAACGAGAAAGAGAAATGTGTGGACTGCGACAGCAGAGACAAAGGTGCTTGAGCTTTGTCAGACGCGAGACACAACGACCTGCCATTGCCAGTCTGTTCGTGATGGCCTCAGTTCTATCAATTCCTGTTATATCCCTGGTCCTACATAGAAAAGTCCTCTATACTATTTATAACTTTTACCACCGTCAGATGCACCTAAAAGGATATCTAAAGAGAACATCCGAAAAGTACATCGGAGGGTTATTACATACAACACCCTAAATACCATCTTGGGGTCAAATAGATAACATCAGTAAAGCCTCATATCGTCAAGGACAGAGGCAGCATGTGCCAACTCTTAATGTACGTGGATATCCATATACCTCCAGGGCCCCAGAGCTGTCTAGAAAACAGAAATAAGATACGGTGAAGTAGAACGGCCAGATACAGATAGGTATAAAGGCGGAAGGTAATCGAGGATCAGGTCCGTCGTTAAAGTAAGGCTGTTTCACGCAGAAAAAGTCGAAACCCGATGTGGACGTGACAGGGTACCTACCAGACAATTCCATCAAATCATCCAAGAGAGCCTCAGAAAGCAAATCGAAGGCTTGTAACCTCGGCAAGAAGAAGGCAACTGATCGCATGATAAGCTAATAGATATCTGGAGGAGAAACAAAGAGGAAGAGCAGAAACAAGCATGACCTGCCTCATAAGCGCTGCTATGCCTCCCCGGCCGGACAACCCGATTTGACTGATGAGATATAATTAATATACAAAAGAAGACGGTAATTTTACAAATTGAACCGCCGCTTGCCATATAGGCTGAACAACGATGGCTGCCGGAATATGCTATCGCCCCACGGCTCCATACCAGCATAACCCTAGAATAGCACCCATTACAATCGCCACGGGTGGGGGTACTTTGAACCATGCACTCCCTGAATATGTTACCGCCGCAACAACCACCCACCATGGTTCCTTACCCAGACTCTGTCCGTCGCTTCTTTCAGAACTCAGGTATCCAATCTCCCACAACCGGTACACAGCCGTAAATACTAGCCCAACTGCAGTGGCATTAACCCCTCTAAGGAAGTCCACCACATACTTCTTCTTCCGCAACACGCGCCAGAAGCTCTGGATTGCAACGGCCAACGTGATTCCCGGAAGGAAGATTCCTAAGCCGCCGAGGAAAGCGCCGAAGACGGTCGGGAATTGCGAGCGCTGTAGTGCTAGTGCCCCCAAGAAGACAGCGAAGTTGAAGTTGGGACCGGGGAAGGCTTGAATAATGGCAAGGCCGATCAGGAAGTCTCTACTAGAGACCCAACCGGGATCGACGACATAGGAGCGCAAGAGGGGAATGACAACAGGACCTCCACCAAAGATAACAGTGCCGGCAAGGTACATATTGGCGAAGAGGTCAAGGACCAGTGGGGGTGTGGTGATCTGGGCTCTGGCAACAAGAATTGCGATGAAGGAAGCTAACTATATTAGTTTCGACTCTGAGGAATTTTGTTAGGTTGAGTGCATACCAAAAAAGAGACACATAATCAAAATCCCGACCCGAATCCGAATTATGTGCTGTGAATCAGCTTCAGCGGACGGCGTTGGGCTTGTAGTATCAGCTGTGCTCTGTGGCAGTTCTTCGACTTTAGGATCTGTCCTTCGTGATCGCGTCGTCTCACTCCGTTGCACTCTATTCTCTTCCAGGGTTGTATCGTCCATGGCTATGGAGTCCCCATTTGCCTCGTCCGGTTGTTGAGGACGACGATGTCTGTTCTTCCACGCGAGTTTTGCTCTCAGCAATTGTTGATAGAACCATCCATCCCAGATGCTGGTGAGGAAGCCACCGATAACCATCAGTACTGGAAAGTACCAGAGCGCATTGTAACAGAGACCAGCACATGCGCCAAAGATCACAAGGATACGGGACAATTTATCGCGAATAGCTTTTTCGGACAACTGTACGGCCGCAAGTGCAACGATACCTACTGTGGAGGCGTTGAGGCCAGAAAGTAAGGAGTAGGCAATTTCGGGAAGAGTTTCACTCATATTTTGCACCCCAAGTGAGAGTGCATACATGCCAATTGCGCCAGGAAGACTGAAACCGTGAGTAGAGATTAGCGGCTTCGTAAGATAAGAATATGACTCACGTCCAAAGCAAAAACACAAGGATGGCAGGAATGAATCCTGCATGCAATAGGGCTAGGCAGAAAACCATCTTCGTGCTACCGGGACCCGGAAGACCCTGACAGATAGCAAAGAGTTCCTGATACTATTGAATTTGTTAGGAGGCCCTGTGACATCGCGCCAAATTGAGGATAAGGGATAATTGTACTGTCTGTTCATCTACCCATTTTTCCTTATCGCCCTTTCCCTCCACGAACCTGCTATGTAGAATCTGGAAGTGTACTGGTGGTCCTCCGAAGGCTGTAAAGCCTAGATCCCATGTACGAAGAAAGACGTCCAGCAAACGATTCGGCAGAGGTTTTCCAGATCCCTCATTTTCCCTCGAAACCCGGCTTGCCCATTTGTGATTCAGCCGGGCAAGGGAAGAGAGGCCCTGGGAAAAGGGGGCGAGTGGCATACTGCTCCTTACCAGCTGCGCAGATAGATCGCTCAGGTGCAAATAGTAAGATAGATAAGGAGGATGAGATCCTCTCAAACGTGAGTGCTCCTATAAACCTTTGGTCGTCGTGCCTTCTAGGTTAAATACCTGGATGGGCGGGATCCATGCGGGAAGCCAAGACGTTTAGGTAAGCCCCGCCATCGCACTAAAGTCAAAACAACCAATTAAAAATACGGTCATGAAGCACGTGCATGTCCCACAATATGGCGAATGTCACTGCCTTGGCGTTACAGGACCTCCGAGGTGATGCCAAGCAACGGGATTTCTGGGCAGTCCTCCAAGTTGGCGGAGTCCGAATCGAGTTAGAGCACATAACATTGAAAATGGAATTTGTGGGACTTAGACGTTTGCATTGTTTACCGTCCCATTCAGTCTCGCTCTTGGCAAGTTCCACAGCCCAAACGTATTATATGGCCTGGCTCCATTCAAAGGATATATGTAAGTCACTGTCAATTACTACGATGAACTATCGTCTGTCAATTGCGAGTACCTCATTTGGTTAGGTCTCCCCACACGGTGTACCTAGATTGCAGTCCTCGGATAGGAATGAACAATTTGGGCTTGGCTCCGGTGTTGTGGCTTTTCATGAAGACCTCGCGTACAGTATAGATAAAAGGCCGTTTCAGGATATAATGATATGACTATTGTTTAAGCTGTTAAGCCCAGATATGTTTAATCATATCGTCCCTTACTCCGCCAATAAATCCGCCCAGAAGCTGATTTACAGGTCGATTTCGGGCCCACCCGCATGTTTCCTTAAACCTCCCCAGGGTAATCCTCGTGCATCAGCTTAATAGGAAGTTATATGGTGATGCTTAGTTACCAAGCTTGCAGATCCCAAGAAAGAAGGCTTTACTCGACTTCGAGGATGCACTTGTGGAGTTGGGCTGCTGTTTTGTGATCACGATCTATTGCTTTTGGTTCCATTATAAATCGCGTCGATCCGTTTATCGCCGGGTCAGAATGGGAATAGTCCTTAACTATAAGATTCCATTTGATCGGGCTATAGAGTCACCGCCTGAACGCACAACATATAAAGCCCACAGGTCCCCTTGGTTTCTCGGCATCATCTCCCCTGTTTAGTCAACCGAAGCGAGCCATTCTACACCTTGAAGAAGCGGATATCAATGAGCATGACCTTTATGGACCGGTTCGGCCTTACCTTAAGGAATACGGCCATTCCCCGAGCGAACTACAAGCCGACCGACATTTCGTTCATGTTCAACCACGCAACCTTGTTCGTTCAGCAAACCCGAAAATTTTTACATTACCATTGATCTGGAGAAAGACCAATTCTTAGGACCACTGGATAGCGATCTCCCCACGAATTATATCGTATTCGTCGCCAGGGGGATAAAATGTGAGTCAGAACATCGCGAATCTTCCGAAAACTTGCCTGACACATTGTCATAGGGTTATCTTTGGTTATCGGGAAGGACCATGGTTGCAGAATTTCAAGAGACAAGTCTGCCAAGTTAGAGACGAGCTTTATCCTTGGGGAATGACCCGAAGGGATAGCTACTGCAACCCACAAAGTCAGATCACTAGGAACCAAGACCAATCAAAACGTGACCCAGTTAATTAGTTATACCTGGATGAATAGTTAGGTGCAAAAGAATGTCAAAACAATACGAAATACTAATCTTCTATACGTTACCACAAGTGGAATAAAAGGTATCTACTGCTCTTACCCATGTCGCACATGACTTCGCGCGTGCCGCTTAGTTCATTCAATGACCATCCCGAGGTCAAGTTGAGTGTAGGTAGAGTGGGTTCCGAGCTAATGGCTAAAGTTCCGGAAGCAGCCAGAGTCAATGGCTGCACGACCATCCACTTCTATCTCGCCACATTAAGGCGATGGTATTCCGCTTCATTGATGCTGGCGACTTGACAATTGGCATCGCCGACGCCAACAAGTTATCCCGACGCTCTATCCAAGATTCACTGCATTGGTCTCCGCGACAGGCCAGGTAACTTGCCGCGCCGCCTAGCGTTGAACTCGATCAGGATAATCACCCATGGCGGCGATCTGACTGAGCCGTGGCTTGGCCTTGGCGAGGAGACCTTCGCATCGCTTTCTCTGGATGTGGAGTGATTTCGCACATGTGCGACGCCGTCCTTCTGGGACAATTATAACCTCCTGCGCCACATCAACGTGACGCCCACAAAAATCCCAGTCCAAATGGCTGCTGAGCGCCAGGTATCAATCTATCTTGCGGCACAAAATGGCAATGCCCCGATAGATAGACGGCGCTTTGGGGATCCATCTTATGAGGCATCCGAGATGCTCAAAATGTCTTTACTATCCCTATTTCGGGCCTACCACAGCAGCAGATCGGGTTAAAGCGAGCCTATCGGGATATTGATGAGCAGCAACCTGTGGCCAGACGGCAGCGGACGCAGAATTGCGACAAGAACAAGATGACCTAGCAGCGGCAGAAGACGGGGAGTCTTCGGCATCTTCAGTGTCTTCATCGTCATTGGAAGAAGAAGAAGAAGAAGAAGGAGCGGCGCATAAAGAGAGACACAAAGACGTGATAAATCTAGAGCAAGAAAATGACGGATCCTCGTCTTTCACGCTGAAACTGTCCTCGGAAGCCTCATCTTCGTCGGAAGACGGATCCTCAGAAGACGAATCCTCAGAAGAAGACTCGGAGATGGAGGCAGAGTGAGACATGAATTACTTCTCTTCGTTTGTCATTATCAGATTGCTCGTTGGGTGATTTCGGAGGATGAGAAAAGCGCAAAGATGAAACCAGGACACAAGAATCGATGCCAGCAACAATAATGTAGTGCAGAAATATTTTGGAGGTTGCTGGCATCTATTTTGCTTGAATAACTACACTTACACGGCTGTATAATCTGCTCTGTCCTCTTATGTTACTTGTACTACTCTAATAACGAGATGTTGCTTCTAGGCCCACTGAATCGGTTTAATTGCATAAGGTACTTTCTGATGTTGGGTAGTAGTCGGCAGTAAAGGGATCAAGTCAAATAGTACCCGTCCTTTGAAAGCCGTACAGATAAAAGAAGATCATTGGAACTTGAACTTATCTCAGTGATACTCTCATCAGACCGTTCATCGATCAAATACCACAAGGTAAGTATGCGACTAATTCTCTTCAGCTCATCCTTCAGTGCAATTTTACACCTATTCCTGATAATCCCCCTTTGCCATGCACTGGTTACAGAACCCTCCATTCCCGAAGTTGATGTCGCCATAATCGGCGGTGGCCTATCGGGCCTCTCGGCCGCCAAAGAGCTCGCAGCAGCCAACAAATCCTTCGCCATACTAGAAGCACGAGACCGAGTCGGTGGTCGTGTACTCAATGGCAACCTCGCAGGGAAGGACGTCCAAGAACTAGGCGCCGAATACGTTGGGCCAACCCAAAACCGCGTGCTGGCTCTGGCGGCCGAACTCGGTCTACCAACCTACAAGACATATACTGAGGGAAATTCAACATTCTATCGAAACGGCACAGCGCGTCATTATAAAGATACCCTAGGCGGTATTCCTCCCGTGGGACTAGACACCCTTGTTGAACTTGCAGTCTTCATGACCGACATCAATACTCTAGCAAGCAAAGTCGACCTGGAAGCACCATGGAATACCCCGAATGCCACGGCGCTGGATTCAATGACTCTAGAGACATACGTCAACTCCAAACTATCCACTGCCGACTCTCGCATTCTCCTCGACGTCGCAATCCCAGCTATCCTGTCGACCGAAATGAGAGAGCCATCTCTGCTGTATTCGTTGTGGTGTATAGCCGCTGCCGGAGATGAAACGGGGCCTGGGACCATCAACCGTCTCATTGGAGTCGATGGCGGTGCACAGGACAGTCGAGTGACTGGTGGAACACAGTTACTGGCGACATTGCTCGCCGAGAGACTCGGCTCGCAAAATATCTACCTCAATACACCTGTGCGCAAAGTCCAGCTCAAAGAGTCCCGCTATCTAGTCTTGTCAGATGAAGTCACCATCTCAGCCCGACATGTCGTCGTCGCTATGTCCCCGTCTTTAGCAACCCGAATCATATTCAATCCCCCGCTACCTGCCGGACGAGACCAGTTAAACCAACGTATGCCCATGGGGGCGCTTGGCAAAGCCATCGCGATCTTCCCGAGCGCCTGGTGGCGGGACGAGGGGCTCAACGGGGAAGGCGTGAGTGACACAGGGGCGATCCGAGTAACGTACGACAACTCGCCGGCAGATGGGTCGTTCGGAGCAATGATGGGGTTCATTGAGGCGGACGAGATGCGAAAGCTGGATACTGCGAGCGAGGACGAGGTCAAGCGTCAAGTCAAGCAGAGTTTTGCTAATCTCTTTGGTCCGCGTGTGGAAAATGCTACAGATTTTCTCATTCAGAGATGGGATCTTGAAGAGTTCTCCCGTGGTGGCCCTAGTGCTTTTATGCCGCCGGGGGTTTTGACGCAGTATGGGTCTTATTTACGAGCTCCGGTTGGGAGGATCCATTTTGCTGGGACGGAGACTTCACTAAGGTGGATTGGGTATATGGATGGGGCTATTAGTTCGGGCGAAAGGGTTGCTGGGGAGATACTGGAGAATTGGTGAATGGGGCTTTGATTAAGGGGCTTTCCCAGGTGGATATGAGGTTTTTCGCAAAATTGGAACAAAATCGAATTTTATATTTGACACTCCGGGCTTTCACTGCTATTTTGAGACTTGACTCGCTTTGTTGAACAGCTGGTTACAGTCTAACGTCGACTTTAGTAAAACAATTTCATCTTTTGACTGATGTCTAGGAGCCCCGTTAAGGCAAAGAGTGTTAGCACCCCCACTTTCACCTTAGCTCCTCGCCTGGGCAATGAAGAGAAAGGCAATTATTCTTCAACCCTGGTGCGTCGATGTCATGCAGTAGCTCAAGGCTAAGGGAGAAGGAGTAAGAAGCTTAGTGCAGGTTGCTTTTCAGCTAGATCAAGATTTGGGTGTCGATAAAGTTGCTGTCAAATGACAGTCTTATGCATATCCTGGCCCACACGCTAGGTGATTTAGCTCAATTGCCGTATCCGGAAACATGTTATTCTTTTCTTACTGGACTAATTCCCTTCTAAAAAAGAGTTGTCTAACTTTTTCACTCCTTCCCTCTGATTGCCGGGTGAACCGGGAATGTAGTGAGCAAGTAGAACTATATAGAATCGACAATCCCACCAGCATTGCATCTCAGCCCCTGAATGAAGCCCGTTCGCAAGTTATGTCGAAAGGAAAACGTCGCCGCCGCCATTCAAAGCCCACCCAGCAAACCCAGCCACCGGTATGCTCGTTACCATCTCCAGTGACGGAGCCAAGGCGTGATGGTCAGCACAAGACCAAAAGGCGGCCACCATCCTCTTCGCGAGTGTCCAAACAAAATGGATCGAAAGAATCACCACAGGCGGAGTCACCCGAGCATCAGCTCACAGGTCATGAGCGAACCAACCCATCCGTTGATAGCTCTCAAGTCAAGGTCCAGGGGCCAAGATCACCATGCAAACCTTCAACGACGCCTTTGCAGCGTGCAACTAAAGTGAGAGGAGACTATCGGTACGAGCCTGAGTTTGAGTTCAAATATATAAATTAAGCTCAGGCGCACTTGAAGTCACGAGTGGCTCTGCGATCGCCTCCGTCATCACCGCAAAGGGTAGTGGGCCTTAAAAAGAGCCTTAAAAAGAGAAAGACCACACCAGTCTCTAAGAATGAGTCCGGCAACCATGTCTACGATACAACAACAGATGCAGACTTAGGGTCTGAAAGGGGACACGAACCAGCCTCACCATCACCATCACTTCCCCTATCACCGCAAAGGGCCCTTGATCTCGAAAATACCACGCCAGTCTCTAATCATGACCGCCAGCAAAAGCCTCGTGGGGCATCGTTGTCAAGTTCAACACCAGAGTCACAGCTAGTCTTTACACCTGAATCGGAACGGGGATCATGCCTGTCATCAGGAGCATCGCCGGACAGAGTCATGGCCACGAAGAAGCCACATCAGCCTCCTGTCCTGAATACGGGCAGGAAGCCCATGAATCATCGACGTCAGATGCTGATGATGAGTCTAAAACTGCATCTGAAGCAGAGCCGGGCCAAACACCGGAACTGTCCTGGTCATCGCCCTCGCTAAAGCGGAAAAGATCAAACGCCAACCATGCCTCCTGGCGCCATGCAGCGCCATTTCCTGCTCCTTCATCACCGGACCGTCTGTCCGAAGTCGAATCCGAACCTATGCTGCCATCATTGGATAGGCTCACATATTCAGAGCCAACGTTACGAGACTTCAGACGTAATCACCGGCGCAAAGCCTGCGAGGCGAAAAAACCGCCATCTCCATCTTCATCATACTTGGCTTTAGAGATAGGATCCCCGACTCCATCGATATCTGTACCCGAATCAGAATTCCAACCACCGGAATCTGAACCTGAATCTCGATATCTGTCTCCAAGTCCAACATCAATGATCCCAGCGTCGTCCCCACCGGTACCCCAAATTGTCTCACAAGTTCGGTCTGGAGTTCTTTCTGCGCTTCCCTTGCCTCGGCGCTGGTTATCGAGGTTTGAACGGCCAGACCAGAAGTCGTCATTAAGCGAAACCGCCTGGACCTCGCGTCTCCGGCGTAAATGGAACATCAAGCCCGTCAAAGTCCCGCTCATGCTAGACGGCAAGAAATATCCATGCCTTTTCGACGAATTCCCGCCCGCTGCTCACGAGAATCCCGACTTCATGTTCCCGGATAACTCCGATGATGATCCCGATTTTGAGTTTCCAAAAGCTAAACGGCGTAGATTAGGGTTGTCTGGAGACGCGCCAGAGATAGAGGAATCGGCAGAGCGAGAGGAGTCATCAGAACCCGAGCAATCGTCAGATCCCGAGCCATACTGGATCTTGAGCGACTGCTCAACCTTGCGACATCGTTAGATCCGGAGCCGTTGCCCGAGCTCGAAAGATCATCAGACCCCGAGAGATCATCGGATCCCGAGAACGAACATCCGCCCACGCATACTTGCGTCTGGGATGAGTTACCGGTACGGCGGTCGAGGCAACTTAACAAGCGGATCGACGAAGCAATTGTGAGAGATAAGGAACAGAATCTCAAGTTCTGGGGTGGTTCATGGATGATAGAATATGAGAGAGGCGTGCCGATAAAGGAGCGGGTTGAGGCCCAGTACAAGCAAGAGATGGCGAAGAAGAAGAAGCGGAAAGAAAGAAAAGGGAAAAGCGGGAGAGGGATAGAATCCTGAAGGAGAAAAGGGAGAAGAAAAGAAGAGAAATGAAAGAACAGAGATTGCGGGAGGAGACGGAGAAACAAAAGAGAATGGAAGACGAGAAGGAGAGGCAGCGGAAGGAGATCCAAAGGAGGGAAGAGTTGAAGCGAAAGCTGCGAAACTCGTCAAACTCATTATTGGAGTTACAGGAGATTCTAGAGGAGGAAAGGAGGACTCCAGATTTCCAGATCCGGTCTGCACTTAGAGGAGGTCGGAGTAATGTGCAGCTGCGGAGGTATAAGAAAGACATGCTAGATGGGATCAAGGTGTTGGAGTATTGGGAAAAGGAGAACTCTGAAGAGCCAGCAAATGGTGGAAGTTGAGGTTCTCATCAGATGCGGATTAATTAACCATGTACAATAGCAACATCATCGAGCTGGGTAAGACAAAAGCGAATCGGGTAGTATTGATAGATCTATTAGGACGAGTACAGGGGATATCAGTGGGATACAGACTCCAAAACACCCCTCGATGCCAAGGTTGTCAGATACTGACATGCTAGACTTGCATTACACGAGATACGGACACGAACCAAAAAAGGAGAGCAAGGTGTGCTTCAAGATTAGTCCCATGCGTCTCCCCAATCGTCGGCCTCCTCATCTTTAGGTTTAGTATCGATCTTCTTAGGTGCAACAACAGTCCGAGGCTTAGCAGTGCTTATCGTCGACCGTGTGGTAACGGCGTTGGTAGAAGCGGCCTTGGTCAGACCCTTTGGCAAGGGATTTTTAGCCTTGGTCTGAGACTTCGCGGCCAGCCAGCCGGCGAAATCGGGTTCGCCGCCGTCATCGTAGGGCACCGCGGAGGCTTTGATTGATGAGGGAACAGGAGATGTGGGTTTTGGAGAGGCTAGAGCAGCAGTGAACGGGTCGTCGTCTTTTTCGTCGTCGTCGTCCATAGCACCCCAGGCATCGAAGACGTCGTCGCCCTCTTCTTCGGGCTCCTCGTTGTGGACCACCGGAGCCGGGCGATCTGACATTGACCGGTTCAAGGGCTGAGCTGTGGGACGGAGAACTTGTTTCGGTAGTCCGGCTGGGGTTGGGGTTGTTGGTTTGGCGGGACGAGGAACCGACGCTGAGCGGGCAGTATCGGGATCAACAGGCTTGCTAGCGTTCGCGGTGGGTTCAATCTCGCCGTTAGCTGTTGTGACTTTGTTCGTGAATGATGAAATAGCCCAGCCGGTCCAAGAGTTGTCACTGGGGGTTCCAACACGAGCATCGGGTTTGCTGACTTCTGCGGGTGCGACAGGGGGTAGGACGGTGTCTGGCATCGTGCTGGCATATTTCCGTGTCCGCTGGACATACAAATCAAGTGTCTTGTTCGCTTGGTCGCGGATTAATCTGCTCAACGGTAAGGATCAGGCCAGAGTTAAGGAGGGAGCGCATTACTCACTTTTCCTTGTCCAAAAGTCCAGGGCAAATGGCGGGTAGAATCCTAACGGCACAATCTTCCTCGCTAAATACATCGATAGTCGCAGACAGAGCCAGAAGTCCTGCATTTCGAGCGTGCACAAAGGGGTCTCTGATAGATCTCGTGAATGCTGCAATAAGCACCTTGGAGCGAGTCTGCATGGAAAGTCAGCGGCATAATCTAGCATTGAGGATACATCACCTACACTTTGACTTAGGTTCTTGGCAATCCGGCCAAGACAAATTGTGGTATTTGTCCGGATACCAGGTTGCTCATCGTTAGCAGTGCGGGCGAGGAACTTCAAGAGTTCTCCATTGACAATCCTATCGTTGAGTTTGTTGATGATGGTCAGAACGGCCTTCACTGTCTGTTCTCGAACCACCGGGGCAACATCGGTGAAACCAGAAGTCTGTGACATGTTAGTACAAAATGCATTACCAAAATTCGAATGGCTTACCATTTGAGGGAAGATCTTGTCATTGACAACCCTCTGAGGAAGATTATCGATCATTGACGGAAGGTTATCCAAAAGGCAGACGCGCAATGCTCGATCAGGGTTGCCAAATAAGCGGACAATGACAGGAGTCAGCTTCGCGTTGAATTCTTCTGCTGACAGCTTTGCTCCAATCTTTAGGGTAGCTCCAAGAACTTTCGGCCCACCGCCGCCAAACTCGACGGACTTTAGTAGCTCGGGGAGCACCTTCATCTTGAAGAATTCCTCTGGGAAGTCTCCAGAAAGATTATCAAGCTCACTGCAAGTGATGACATGTCAGCCGGAAGAAAAGAATTATGCATGATCTTGGAATATACGCACTTAATAAATTCTTCACGCTCAGCGTCACTCTTTAGCCCCAAGCTGTCGATGTCTTCAGTCATTCGAATGAGTGGTGTCTGGAAGAATCCACCTTGTTTCTTTCCCTGCTCCACGAAATGCCCCGGGCTCAGCCGTAGCTTCGGGTTGGCGGTGCAGAGACGTTTATAGCTTTGCTGCATGCTGGGAGGAATGTTCGTCGTCTTGCCAGCTTGGTCGCCGCCAGAAAAACCCCCATTGAAAACCTCGAAGATCAAAATACCCAGCCCGTAGGCATCAACTGCTGCCAAAGGATTGCGCTTGATAGTATCCCATCCTGTTTTAACAACCTCCGGGGGCGTGTATCGAGCGGCATCGGGCACACTACTTCCGTACGTCTGCGCATGGTGTCAGTATATGCATCATTCCCGCAGTTACCAGATAAACCCGAACCAGAGTAACTCACATATATAATCGCATCATCTTCCTTCATAGAGCTTAGAATGTCGAATCCTCCTAGCTTCCATTCGCCGCTCTCGCTTGTGAACACCGAGGATGCGCGCACGGCGCCGTGAACTGAGGAAGCATCGTCGTTGATGAATTTGAGAGTAGACTGTCCAGAGCAACCCCCGTCAGCAATACGGCAATACTAGACTCCCAAGAATATCGTACCGCCACAGTATACAACCCCCACTTGGCCGTCTCCTCACTCAAGCTCCTCCGCTTCACCGGCCAGCTCAGTGGCACGACTCGTTCCGTGACAATATAAAGGCTGTGCTCCGTCTGTCAAGTCGTAAGCTTCTGCACCATGATCTCTTATCAGACCAAAGGTCCGGGAGCCAAGTATACCTCAATCGTATCCAGAACCTTGATAACACCAGGATGCCGCAACGTTCTAGACTTGCGCACCGCATTTTTCGCAAGAGGGAGGCGCGACTTGTTCGCATTGATGTCAAATGCAAAAACACTGCAAGCGGAACCGTCATCCTATATGTGCCATGACATCGTCAGCTATTGAAGCTCGTCCGGCATGGAAAAAGGAACCAAAAAGCCACCGTACCCGTTTCGTACCGTTGTGCAGTGCCCAGACTGAATCACCGATGTCGACTCTGTCGCCGAGGGAGAACGGGAGCCCTCCGCCCTTCGCGATGGCAGATCCGATCGCTGATTTCAGGAAATCCATGGCCGCGATGTGACCGATGTGGCAGGTCGGGGATTGTTTTGGGTGTCCGAGGTGCGCGAGTCGGGGCCGCCAATGGCCAAGGGGTCAATATACGGCCGGATGTCAGGATTAGATCAATAGGTCCAGCTAGTGACTGAAAATGAGCGAGTACCAGACACAGTGTCCTCGTGAGTCGGAAGAGCCAAACACATTAAACGCCAAACTCCTTTCACCCCGCCTTACCGTGATATACTGCGCTGCCTGAGGCGACGACGTGCTCATATAAATAAAGCTCTTTCTCTTCCTTTTCTTCGCCTCCATGCCACTGTCCCACGCGTCTAATTTCGTCGCTAAATGACACTGAATCTTTACGATACTTATGCTACTGCACTTATTTTCTTCCAGTCCACGCTCACTCGCATCAGTCGACAGTCCACAGTCCTATTGATCAAACAGTAAGTGCCTAGTTCCTTCCCACACCTGTCAATTCTACTAGCGACGCAAGTCGCCCTCTCCAATGATGCGAACTCTGGTAAAAGGTCCGACCATGACCACAACACCACACTCACCCAGCCAAACCGATGGTACTCCCGCAAGCACCAAAACCCACGCAAAACACCACAAACCGGACCCGGAGCGAACCTCAAGAGCTACCTCGCGCGCACGAACCGACCATCTCTTTCCAGCAGACTCCCTATCTATTGGACCAGCCATTATGGTGCCGCCACACCATCACGAGCTGCGCTCAGACCACGACGACACCCTCCTCTGGTCGCACTCTCGACAACCAACTTCACATAACACCATTCCCCCCACTCTTCCAGCAGAACACAAACGTCTCCCGTTGGAACGCTGGCAGGCTGCAGCGGGATCCTAGTCAGCAGCCCCATGGCTCGCGGCCACGCCGGACAAAGCGGCGTTGGTCCTGGATCATGGGAGACATTGTGTACATCTACACCTCTGTCCGTCCTGAACCGGTACCGCAAGTGGGCTTGGCGCTTGCAGGCTCATTGCTGAGATGTCGCTTTCGATTACTGTAATATCCTTGCATATTGCGGTGTCGCATTGCTGAGGTCCGCCCCGGGATGTATCCTTGAGGTGTTGGGGTGATAGCGTGCATGGTGCTGGGTCTATGACGCGAGAAAGTATGGGAACCGGGGAGGTGGCGCCGCTATCTGGGGTTGCCGTGTCCGCTTCGCTTCCATGAGGACGGGTCGGCGACCAATGGCTGTGGCGTAAAGGGTACGAGGGTCTGAGGCTTAGGGAGGAGAGGGTTTGGGTGGTTGGTTTGACACTCTTATGGTGTTCTTTGGGGGGCTTGGGGTTGGACGGGTTCTTGCTGGCGGCGTTCTGTTGGCTATGCAGAATACGGACTTCTCTATAGTCTTCTCTCTGACTGCTTGGGAGTGCCATTCCTGGCTGCTTCTCTCTCTGTTTCCTTTTCTCTTTTTCTTTTTTTCATCTGCTGTGAAGATTGGTGTGGGCATGTTGTTGTGGGAGGTTGGAAGTTGGGTTACGGAGAGGCGTGTCGATTGGGGTGTGGGCTGGAGGTGTTTGGTCTTTGTGATGCTTGGTGGTGTTTTCGGGGTTTGTTCTGGGGCTTGTTTATGGCTGGAGTG